TTTGTTTGTTTTGTATTACAAACTCCAGAACGTGAAGATAATGGATGAAGCAGCTAGTCAAGAACAAAATTACTTTGAAAAATTGCCTCCAGGCATGGGTGGGGAAGAGGGTCTGGGCTGACTGAAGTCTCATACTCCTGTCTTTCTGGGCCTGATAAATTTCGATACTTCATATAGCTTATATTGCTCTGAGCTAGTTTTCTTTTCTCAACCTAAGTAGTCTTTCTGTGTATACAATTTAAAATAATTATATTCTGTTCTACATCTTACTTTTTCGTTTATTACACTTTTAGCAACATTTCAGCCATATCAATGTGTGTAAATCTGCCTATTCATTTTATAGTTATATGATATTAATACTTTTTTATGAATGTACAATTTATACATTTTTCTAATGACTTTCAGTTTGCCACAGTGATAAATGATGTTGCCCTGGACATCATGTGTCTTTGCATACCTGTGCAATTCTGCCTACAAGAAAAACATCTTAGTAGTGCAGTTGCTTGGTTAATGGCTTTTATAAATGAGTCACCACTACTACTATCCTAGTTTCCTAGTGCAGTCATAACAAACTACTACAAACTTGGTGGCTTAAAACAATAGAACTGTATTCTTAATATTTCTGGACGTCAAGATGAAGAACCACATTCCTTAAAAAGGTTCTATGGGAGACTGTTCCATGCCTCTTCTAGTTTCTCGTGGCAGCTGGCATTCCTTGGCTTGTGGTCACATCACTTTCTGCTGGGCCTCCATCTTCACAGCACATCTCCTCTCTGCATCTTCTTTTCTGTGTGTCTGTCTCTGAACTCCCTCTGTCTCTTTTTGTTATAAGGATACATGTGATTTCATTTAGAGCCCACCTGGGTAATCCAGGATAAGATTCTCTCTCAACAGCCTTAATTTATACACATCTTTTGCCATATAAGGTAATATTACAACTTCTGGGGATCCAAACATGGACATAGCTGGCATTAAACCTATTATAACTGTTTTACACATAATTCTACAGTCTGAGTATATCTTGTCCGAAATGCTTGTAAGCAGGTCAGCTGTGGAATTTTTCACTTGTGATGTCACATAGGCACTCAAAAAGTTTTGGATTTTGAAGCATAATTTTTTTGATTTTTGGATTTGGGGATGTTCAACCTGTATTAGGAATCAGGGGAATTGTTTGGTATGGGAGGTCCACTTCCAATTCTTCATACATAATTACATACTGGTTTATATTATTTTTTTCTAACTTTCCCATTATAAAACATTTTTAGTTAGTTTGATCCTTATTGCCAATTAGCATTCTCAGAGTCATTTAACCACTGCAATAGTTTAGTCTAAAAACAGGTTTTGTGTTACTGACATTTTGTGAGCTATGCACTATTGATATCTCTCTTGTCTAGATGTCAAAGTAAATTAGTCAATAGGATTTACGAGATGGTCCACTTTGAAGAATAAAATAGCCTCTTGGGATTAGAGTCCAATTTTAATTTAATTACATGTTGGGAAAGAAAAGATTTGGTTCAGTTTAATTTCTGTTGTAAAATTGGGTGAGTTGTCACCTAAAGTTAGACATTGTACATTAATTTGATGTTGCTATATCCTTTTGTATTAAAAAAGGAAATAGCTAAAAAACCAGACAATCATTCTTTGAGAACAAATTAATTCATTTAGGCGAAAACATAATATAACTTACTACTCATAAACACTTTATAAGTAGGATGTAGAGAAAAACTCATGCTTTAACTATAGGGCTTCTAGAGAAATTTATAGTGAAAACAATAGTCTAAGAACTATTGATTATTTTGGGACTAGTTTGGTGAGTCCATTATTTCTAGACTGTATTTTGAAATATAAACTTCTGGATAGCATGGGATATTGATAAGACTTCATAGAATGGAGGCATGCTGGTTTAGGCTTTGAAAGTTGAAGAAAGATTTTTCACAAAATAAATAAAGGAATATTCTAATACTTTATGTGACTGAAAGAGCCTTGAATATAACATTATAGTCTAGCCATGGATCATCACTGATAGTTTAATTACTCCTATGTCTTACATATTTTTCTCCATAGTTTAATCAACTGGTATTGATTCTAAAAGAAAAGGTGAAGTTATTGGGCTTCAGTTCATCCCACCACATAAATTGTTGAAAAACACTTGCAGGTCATTCTTGTAAATGGTGATATTCTATTGGAGCCTATATATTCAGAAACATTGTGGAAAGCACAGGTGTCAATGAGCTGGAAAGATGATGAATTTCAAAAGACTTTGAAGGATAGTTGTAGTTTTTGAATTCCAAAGATAAGAATATGAATTCTGATGAACAATACCATCAGAATGGACATGTACAAGAACTGAAATTTGGAAATTTCCAGAGGAATAAAACCGAAGGAGTATAATTGTATGCAGAAAGAGTTAGCTTTCATGTTGTGTTATAGTAGAATCAGCAACAAAGGCCCTAATAAAAAAATACTAGTTGTGGTAGCAGTTTGGTCACCTACTAGAATAGACATTTTACTTAGAAAAGTCACTTTGCAATTCTGATCATTTATGCCCTCGTCTATAAAACGTGATTCAAAATACCAGTTCCCTGGAGTTCATGGGATTAAGAAAGTAAATTATTTGCATTTTTAGAAAAATAAAAAGCTCTAAAACATTTTTTATTTTTTATGCACCCTGTTATAAGTAAAGCCCATCATAAAACATACGGCATATGAGTTATTACTAAGGAACAAAATTAGCAGATGGCAAAGCCCAACTTCTGGCTATAATAATTAAAGCTACTTTTGTAGGGGGAATAAGCTTATGCCTACTTGGAATTCAAGAAGCAGTCCTCTAAATAATGGTTTTTCCAAATCGAAGGAAAGCTTTCTCATTGGCTTAAGGATTGTTGGTTTTCTACAGGCTTTGTAGTCAGACATACAAACTCTAAAACACTACCTTTTTAAAAATACTTTTAAACCACCTTAATGGGGTATGATTTACATACAAAAAAAGCTGTCTATAATGTGTACAACCTGGTTAGTTTGGAGATAAGTGTACACCCATGAAACCATCACTACAATCTATGCCTTAAATATGTCCACCCCCAAAAGGTTGCTCCTGCTTTCCTTATTTATTATTGTTACATTCTGAACAGAAAACAACATAAGATCTACCCTCATACCACATGGTTTAAGTGTTCAGTAGAGTATTGTTAACTATAGGTACTATGCTGTACAGTAGATCTCTAAGATCTATTCATCTTGCATAATTTTATCTTTGTTTCTTTGACTAATTCCTCCCCATTTTCCTCTTTTAGTACCTGGAAACAACTATACTATTCTCTGCTTCTATGCTTCCTCATCTTTAATGTTTCCACTAAAACACTACCTTTCATTTTTAAAACTAAAGATTAGTAAATGCATTGTATAAATATATCTGCATAAATGTATATGAAATATATGATGATAGTTTAATATATGTAAAGAAAAGGATGCAACATAGATCGATATAGATATAACTATCAAGCAGAGTCTTCCTGGATTATTTACTCATTTGTTGAAAGGAACTCTGGATGTGAGCTAGTCTTTCTGGAAGAAAATAGGCCAATTAAGTTAAGGTGCTGTGAAATTTCACAGAAATGTTGGTGAGCATGTAGAATTTGGACTTGTCAAGGTCTCTTTTATCTGGTCCCTAAGCTGGCCTGCATAAATTATATATATTTTTTTATTTTCTTGGAGGGTTGCCACATGGAGCCTGTATAAATTATGAGTATAATTAAGCACATAGACTGGAAGATCAGAACCTAATTTTTAGATATGCCTCAGGTTCTCTTCTGAGGCTTTGCCTGGAAGCCAGGGAAGTTCTCCCTGCCAGAGGAAATAGATATAAAATAATTTCTTCAAAATATAAAGGTTTTCTACCTTTGGATGAGCTGATTACTTGGGGTGGGATGGAGCTGCTATTCTCAAATTACCCAGCTTTAAAAAGCAGCAGATGGGTCTGAAGGCTCCCTGTAGGACCAGAGCTGATGTATGTGCCTCTTCTCACTGCTCTAATCCCAGGCCCAGGAGACCCATTTAGTGTGAACTCTTCATTCCTAGCACAAGTTAGACCTTTAGTTCCATCCTTATGAATTTCTCAGTGTTTATTCATGACCTTTAAGCCTCTTCACTCATCTTCTTCCTAGTCCCCACCCACCCGCCATTTCTCATGGACTTGGCATGCAGATCACACTTTCCTCATACTCTCATACAAACCTCATTTGACCTGGTGGCTGTGTTGCCTTTGTTCAGCACTTTAGAATAGGTGGCCCTGGATATAAGACAGACACTGGGTATTTAATGAAGGTATTGACATTTTTCTTAGTTTTGATCTAGGGAAAGAAAGCCTTGGTCCAAACAAAACAAACTCTTAGATACTAAATTCTATATATTCAGCAGCATATTTAAATTGAAACAAATATATCTGATGGATTAGAGATTTAGCATATTTTTCTGTCACCCCGATTTGATTAGGAAGTTTGAATTCTAAATCACAAGATCTCTAAAATAATTTGTTTCTTTCCTGAAACCCAGTCTGTCTTATTATAAGCCATGTATATTACTGACAGTATTTCTAATAATTATATTTCATTTTTTTATTTTCATTGTCAATGGATATTTAATTTATTTAATTGAATTTTAGAGAAAATTATTTAAATGAGTATAGGGAATTATTTAAGTGACAGATAGTGAATGCCAATAAGAATTTTCTTTCTTATAATCATAGGCTTGTAGTTTACTGTTGTTTTCTTTTTAACAAAACCTGATTTTTTAAATCTTATACTTTTTATTTTTTTTCTCATGCCATGTTTGGTCATTTTAGTCATATCTTAGTTCTATTATTGTATTGACAAAGATGTATTCAATTTCACTAATTATTAAAAGATGTTCAAATTTTATTGAGGTGATTTAAAGGCAGTGGCTCTAATTTGGCTTACTGAATTCAAATATGCATGTAACGATTTGTTTTTCTATTTCTTTAGATAATCCAAAATCTACTCTACCTCTCTTCATTTGTAATACCTTCAAATATCACACTTCAAGGTTTAGTGACTAGGCCTAAAGATTTCACATATAATCCAAAGAAATCTGTTCAAGTGGACATCTATCAACAGGTAAAACTATGCTTTTAACTCTGTTTTTCTTGTCTATGCTTACAAGTTGTGCTTGTTAAAAGAAATAAGACACAACTGATATAAATTGTATTAAAATATTATAGAATTGAGCATAGGAAAAAAAGGCATGAAGCCAATGAGTGTGTATGACTTGGATCTTGACAACTGGTCAACTCAAGAGTCACTAATAAGGCAGACGTAACAATGTTGGAATTATAATTTTTGAAACTGATTGGTTCTGGGTCTGTTTTCTAATGGATCAGTTAAGAGATCATAAGATGTCATTTTATATGAAGAAAAACAAAAGAAGTAGTAGATAAGAAAATGAAGAAGTATATGAGTGGCGCCTTGCACCCTGGAGCCCACAGTTATCATTCAAATCAAGGAAATGTGCTGAAAACAGAGAGTAAAATATCATATAAATGAGAAATAAATTGATGAACTGTGGGAAAAATGTAATGAAAAAACAAAAGATTGAGGAGAAAAAAATGCTTAATCATATGTTTTTTATTTAAAGGCAAGTATACTTTTGAAAGGAACGATTTGTGTAGCATCTAAGAAAATAGCTTCACTTTTATAACAAAGCAGAAACAATTTGAGTAGTTGACAGTTCAGAGAATGAACATGCAGTACATTAGAAAAACATGAATTTAATAGGGAATATAAATCAGAATTCCTCGGTGATATTCCTTCAGACCGGAATCTAGAGAAATGTGAAACAGCTGATTATCTATGGAAGGCTGATGTGCAGGTCACCTATTGTCATTCAGAATTGTTAAAGAAAGAACATTTGTGCATTAAAATATGTCTGGGGATATGATTGATACTTAGAGGAGGTGAATATGTAGTTGTGTGCATGTGCACACGCATGTGGATGCACATGTGTATGTGTGTTTGAGATAGAAAAATGGGAGGAGTCAAAGGAAGGGCTGGTAGTGTATGCTATTACTATCCATTTTTACTCCTTTCAGTTTTTCCGATGCTTCCATTTTTTTAGTCCTTTTCTGAATTTGGATGATGGCCTCATCATTTACTTGTATATACCATAGTCAAGATACATTTAGCAAATATTCCTTTCCTTTACTTTTCATTTAGGATGTCATCTAAAGCCAACCTCTTCTCAGGCACTTATACCATAATTGCTACCAGCATTTGCCTTGAGATTGCTGCCCCTGTCTAGAAAGGACTGTTAAAAAAAAAAAGTCTGCCTCAAACAAACATATAGGGGCCTAACATTTTATTCTGATTTATTTCTCTTTAACTTCATTACAAAACAAAACCTGAAACTTCATACTTACAGAGATAAAATGACAGCGGATGGCATAATGGGTGAAATTTTTTTTCAAGTTCAAATATTTATAGCTATTTATTGATCAATTTGTCTTTTATTATAAAGACAAATTTTATTATAAAGACAATTTGTCTATTATATGCTAATAACTATACTGAGAACTTGGAATACAATAACTGCCTTGTTATCTTAGAATCTGATGGGAAAGATGGATAGTGAATAAGTCAGTGGAAATGTTATTTGAAGGCAAAAATATTGTAGCTGTTTCCAAATTATTCATTGGGAGAATGAGGAATTTGGAGAAATCTATGTTTTCCTATGATTCAAATTGAAATCAGAACTATAAGAAAAGTACTTATTACAATAGCTTATAATATTGAGATAAGGTAAGAATCTAAACAGTCCTGAATTTTTTATGAAATAATTTAGAGAATATTAACCAGTGAAATATTAAAACTGATTATGCAGCTATTTGTGATTTTTAAAGAAATCCAAATAAATGAGAAATTCAAATCTTAGAACTCTACTTCTCTACAGCACATTTTAATTAAATTTATATACATAAATATATACACACATTGAATATACATATATACAGATAAATATTTACGCATTTGTTGTTTCTTCAATTCTAAGAAGCACATATTTCACATTTTAACATCTTTGAAGTCAGGATGTCTTACACTGGATGGCATTTTATAATCATTGTTGCTAATGTTGCCTATGCCTATGCACATTTTAGTGATTGTTTCTGATCATGGTTGGACAGTTTCAGTCTTTTGATATTTCAGTCAATAAACCATTTGTGGACCATTAGAGGAAGGAATATAAGTTCTGTTGTTCACTGAGTATCTTCTGTTGATATTTTCTGGTAAGACGAAGAACATCAGTGTCAAAATTTAAAGTGGTGTAAGCAGCTTGAAAGAAATTCCTAGAGACAGTAATGGAATACTCTGTAGAAATGCCAAACCGTGGATGCTCTTTATAGGCCAGAGGAGGATATTGTGTAAAAAAACACAGTTATTGCAAACTGTGATTCAAAAAGCGATTCAGAAGAATCATAATCCGATTGTGAAAATATTTAGCAATACTTAATGAGTTGGAAGTTGTTTTCTTTTAGTACATATTTATACATATAATTTTGATATAAAAATTGTTGTCATTTTCAGTTGGATAAAATGTATTATGTAAACATATATAACTGAAGCTATAGCAGAGTATATATAGCAGAATATATTCACCAGTATGTCTATAATAGTTTACTCTAGTGTTAGGACTGTGGGTGATTTATATTTTTTTATGTATTTTTTATTTTTAAAATTTTTAAATTACTAATTAGTATTTATATCATTGGCAAATGATAAATAGTTACTTATTTTAATCTTTAAGTGAAAATGTATTCTGAATTTGTAGGATAATTACTGAAGTGGAAATATGATGCATAACTGTCCAAATTTTAGAAGGACAAGTTGGAAGCTTTCTTCCATTGGTGTAAGCATAACTAGTAAAATACAAGAACTGGTGTTTAAAGAACAGAATGGCTCTAACTACATGAAAAGATACTCAAAAGTATTAGTGATCACAGAATGCAAATTAAAAGCACAATGAATTTTTTCATGTCTACTGCATTAGAAAAAAATTAAAAATTATGCATTGGTCAGGATATGTGGCAAGGAGAACTCTTATGCACTGCTTGTTTCAGTGTAAATTTCTACAATAAATCTTCTATAATTCCTAATCAGTATCTCTGCAGAATTGTTTACACAAGTGCCCCAAGAGAGAAAAGTACAGGAATGTTCATAGGAGCATAATGACATCTAACTGGAGACAGTTCAAATCTTTATATATACTTAGGTATGAGTTACATATAGATATAGATACATACACATGTATATTCAAAAATGATGTATGGTCAATCCTTATTATGAGTGATTCCATATTTGTAAATTTGCATATCCACAGAAATTTGTGATTCACAGCACTTCTGCAATCATTTGCTGACATGCACAGAACAGCAAAAAAAGTTGTTATGCAACACTTACATTCCCAGCTGAGGTCAAACAAGGCAAGACCCTGCCTTCTGGTTTAAGTTCTCACACTGTAAACCAGTATTCTTTTTATAGTCTAATACCATGTTTTTCACATTTTGTGCTTTTTGTTGGTGATCTTGCTGTTTAAAATATTCCCTAAGAGTAATGCTGAAGTGCTGTCTAGCATTCCTCTGCACGAGAAAACTATGAAGTGTCTTTTAGAAAAAATATTTGTGTTAGATAAGCTTCATCCAGACATGAGTTACGGCGCTATTCCCTGTAAGTTTAGTGTCAATGAATCAGCAATATGTATTAAGTAAGGTATCTTTAAACAGAAACACACGTAAAACAAGGTTTTGTATTGATTGGTTGATAAAAATGTGATCAGAGTCTCACAGAAACCTAACCTTGTTTTTCTACTATGTGCAGCGGTTCAGCGTTTGGTAATTCAGTGTTCATGGTGACTTTATAGAGCACAGCTTCCATGAATAATGAGAATCAACTGTACTCTGTGACATGAGATTTATAAGTCTATGTACATCATGTCTAAATCTAAAATTATAATATTAAATTAAAAAACTGTTTCCAAGATTATATATGTCATATGCATATTATTACATGCATATAATGTATAAAATGTAATATATACTTGAAATATTAATAATTTTATTATTGTTATTATTGTTAAGAATTAAATGTTGACTCTGATCTATATATATTTTAGGTAATACAAATTTTATGTATAATATATATTTAGCTTATGTATTATATATAAATTTAGGAACATATAACATATACATATACACACATACATATATGGTAAAAGTATAAATAACATTAACTTAAAAGCCATCATACAATTTGGGATAGAGAAAGAGCGATGTGGTCAGAGAGGGACACACGGAGGTGATTTGATTAAAAATGGCTATTGCTATTTTCTGAAGATCCTAAAATTATTTAATATTTTTAGAGAAATTCTGGAGGATTTCACATTCAACCTAAACTATGATTTATTGAACACTGAACTATGTGCAGATCACAAACCTGAGGCAAGCACACACTATTTCATTTAATTCTCACACTACTCTTGTGAGGTAGGTACTCTTCATGCAATTTTTTTTTGACACTCAAGATGAGATTGTCATGCAAATTTCACTTTAAGATTTGGCTTTTAAAAGTTATAGCTTCTACATTAAATGTAATAAAAGACATGGAATTTTGAAAGCCACATATATATTTTTTCTCTCTAAAAATGTAACTTTAAGATCTTCACTCATTGTCATTTTATATATAATTTTAATAAAAATTAGGATAATGATAGGTAAATTTGTCTAGTACATATTAGTGATGCCATTTACATGTAGTCTTCTGTCAGTGTTCTTAATTACCTTATAAACTAAATATAGGTATTATCCTGTTTTTACAGATGACACCACAGACTCAGTTTTATTACTTTACTAAGCGTTACAGAGTAAATGATGGAGCCGGTATTTGTAGCATTTGAAGCTCTTATGCTTAATTTTCATGCCACAAGAGGAAACCATGTAAAGGAAAATAGGCTTAAATGTACAATTTCACAATAAACTAGAATTTTAGAAAATAGAATTGTATATATGTGTGTGTGCATGTGTATATACATTTTCTTTTCTATTTTATTCTTTGTATAGGAGCAAACCAAGTAGAATGGTTTTAAAGGGTCTATAAGTTCAAATTATTTTAATATAAGAGTGTTCCATTTCTTAAGGTGGAGCGTATTTAAATGCTGAGAAAATTCTAATTCATAGAATTTATACTAGTGTTGACACCTATTTATTGTGTGAGTCTACACACACCTCTTTACTTTCCTATGGGCATAGTTTCCTGTCTGTAAAATGGAAATCCCATATTTATAACATGATTTGAATATTAATGAATTATAATATTTGTATTGATATTATTATTTTAAAATATGGGTTTAAGATTACTTAGAAATGTTATTTATGATCTTTGAAGTGAGTAAAAAAAATCATCCAGTTGTATTTCTGAATGTTTACTATAGCAGATGTGATAAAAACTACAATAGTTTAAACTCATGAATTAGTAATAAAAGATGGTTTAGTTTTCTTTATGCAAGCAGGAAAACTGCAGAGTGAGGACTTTAAGCCCTGTAACTGTTTTTACATGCTGATTATACAACAAAGAGTAGTTTACCACATAAATGTCCTTTGGTATTTCCTCAGTATTCTTCTATGGTTTCTTTTTTAAATTTTCAAGCGATAAAATAGGTACTTTAAAATATAGCAATAAAATTTAGTAATATATAGATTCAGATACTTTAGACAACTTTCAGAGATCATTTGCTATTTTCAACTGGTTTCACTAACACTTACAATATTTATTTCCTTTTCTTTTTTCCTTAAATATTATACATCTTCAAAGATACTATTTCCAATTCACATGTGATGTAAAGTCATCATGTTATGTTAACTGAAGACCAAGGAGAAATAAACTTATCTCCCAATTAATAGATGAATTGATAGATAGAAGACAGGTAATTTTTATGTTTCTAAGAAAGCAAAAATGATTGCAAAAGCAAGCTGTACACATGCTGAAGACTACAAACCATCTCAAAATAATTATTGAGAGGTGTGGTATTTTGGGTTGATTTTAGCAATTTTAGCATTTGCACGACATTAACTTATAGAAGTGGCTTTGCCCCGATTACTGTGATTGACTAAGCTCTACATTATGTGCATTATTTCTTTGTGGTTAAAGCCTTTCATTTGACCTTGTCACTATAGTTTCCATGACATTTTTTGGTAGGCTTCTAACATACAAATGTATACCTATAAAATAAAATATTTCAAGTTATTTTATTCATTTTTTGAAAATTAGATGCCTGTGACCATTTTGATCAATAAGAATACTATAGATATGCAGAGAAGCTGTAATAAAAATGCCAACAATTTTTTTGCTTGCTTTTTGTCCCCCTAAATTACATTACTCGGTAGTCTTATTTCTAATTCTATTTATATTATCTGTAAAGTCAGCAGTGATTAGTAAAATTGAGTCCCTTCCATTACTATTTTACTTGGGTAAGGCTTCTTAATATTTCTGAAATTTGTCACATTTTAAAAATACAAAAAAAAAAAAATACCGGAAAAGGCTTTTATTGAAACTAAATTGAATACTTACTGAAAATAAAAAGCATGTATTTAGCATAATAAGTACACAATATTTATTGAGTGAGATCCCCTTATCCATTTTTGTATACTTATAGATTACATTATAGATTACTTTGAGTATCATGCATTAATTCAATAAGATAAGTAATTTGAACTCTTGAGACTATTCCATCAAATTAATGCCACTGTATCTAAAGCCATATTTTATATCTGTATATTTAGTCAGGAATAACTTTAAATTTTACTTTATTGTATTTTCTTGGGAAAATCAGAAGGATTTACCTTTTTCATACCATTTAACAATTTTTAAAATTTTTTTCACCTATAGTGTCTAATAGAATGGTAGGCACATTTATCAATTATACCTCTACTTCCTATAAAAGAGTAATTTGAGACTGCTTTTTAAAAAATAACCATATATCAAAACATCACATTGTACCCCATAAATATATAATAGATACAAGTAAATATATAAAAAAGCTAAATTTGTTGATGTATGAGTATATAAATAAGACATGTAAAATATATTTATAAAAAACATTTTTAAAAATGAGATATTTTCTGTACAAATCATTGTGGCAATTAAAGCTTATTTAGCTATTTTATTTTAATTAAAAAACATTTTAGGGATAGGGCCTCTCTCTGTCACACAGGATGGAGTGCAGTGCCTCCATCAGAGCTCACTGCATCCTTGAACTACTGGGTGAGTATAGTTAGTAATACTGTATAGTATACTGGTAATTTGCCAACAGAGTAGATTTCAGGTGTTCTGAGCACAAAAAAGAAAAGCGGTAACTCTATGAGGCGAGGGGTATGTTAATTAGGTTGACTGTAGTAATCATTTTTGCTATGAATGTGTATAACAAAACGTTTTACACCTTAAATATATAATTTTTATTTTTAAAAAATAGTGGGGGCCGGAGGTGGTGGCTCATGCCTGTAATCCCAGCACTTTGGGAGGCTGAGGTGGGTGGATCATCTAAGGTCAGGAGTTTGAGACCAACTTGGCCAATGTGACGAAACCCCATCTCTACTAAAAATACAAAAATTAGTCAGGCATGGTGGCACCTGCCTGTAATTCCAGCTACTAGGGGGCTGGGGCACGAGGATCGCTTGAACCTGGGAGGTAGAGGTTGCAGTGAGCCAGTATCATGACACTGCACTCCAATCTGGGCCACAGAGTGAGACTCCATCCCGCCCACCCCACCACAAAAAAAAGTGAGTTAGAGTTGTCTCGACAATCATCAAAAAGCTAGACAACAGAAAGCACTTAAAAAAAAAAAAAGCCAATAGATCATGTCAAAAGGCTGTGCAACCATCATTTCATTCCTTGGCTTAGCCTTAAGCAGGAAGGAAAAATGAGACCAAAATTATCAATTATTGAGGTTAAAACAACTGATGATTGAAGTAGAATATGTATGAGATCTATCTTAGAGCTATGTCTGATGTATAATGTAAAATTGTACTTCAGTTCAGATCTAAATTCTTCACTTTGAGTAATTTTTGTTTCAATAATCACATTAAATTATTTAAATATTTAGCCCACAGTAATCAAAGGTATATAACTTGCATTGATTTTTTTTGTACATTTTCTGGTAATTTTCTGAATAGAAGAGTGTGAAAAATATTCATGAAAAATCATATTGTAGTTTTAACTAGAAAGTACTATTTTAGTGACTATCAAGAGTGGTAAACAAAAGGGGAAATAAAATTTAAACTGTTATTTCATTTTTTTAAATATAGATTACTTGAATTTTCATTAGAGGAGCAGAAATGCCACCAATGCCAAGTACCCCACCTCCGCATCCACCTCCAGATGGAGGATGGGGCTGGGTTGTGGTTGGAGCAGCTTTTATCTCCATTGGATTTTCATATGCATTCCCTAAAGCCGTCACCGTATTCTTCAAAGAAATTCAGCAAATATTCCACACTACCTACAGTGAAATAGCATGGATATCATCCATTATGCTGGCTGTTATGTACGCAGGAGGTAAGCTTCTTGCAGTAAATAGAATCCTGAATTAAGAAAATAATTCCTCCGTGTCACAATGTTTTACATATAGTGTCTTGGTATATTAAAACCTGTTTTTATGTTATAGTCACTTAAAACCAATCAAAAGTATAATTAGAACTGAACTTTCAATGATTTTAGTGATTCAGCATCTTAAGCTATTTGCTTTGAATCGAGTCTTAATAGGGGATTTGTTTGAATAAGAATTGGTAAGCACAAAGCAAGATTTACTAAATTATGGAATTTCCAAGTGAAGCTACTTCATTTAGTTTGAAATAAAGTCCACATCATATTGCTGATGTCATTTTTCACTATTGCAACCTCTGGTAGAAATGCTTTCTTCTGAATGAGAAGAAAATTTAAGTTGCTGACAGTTTATAAGCCCAGAAAGTACATCGCTTTAAGCTGCAAAAATGAAGTGTTAACATGTACATTCTAGACCCATTCAAATTTGTGTGACTGAAATGATTATTTATCTCTGTAAGACTCATTAAATATGACATATTTTTTAACTTAAATGGTTGCCTGAAAATTATCTTATTACCTTCTATGTTCAAATGAGGGTATGAGTCATGAAGGATAATGAATAGATCAAAGTACCATCCCACTTCTAAATGTTAAAAATTTGGAATTATTGGTGCCTTATTATGTCACCTATTTTCTTTAAATCAATCTCAGTAGCAGACCAGACTCTCTTGTAGAATTTTTTGAAAGTCATTACTTAAAATATGTCTTTTAGAGTTTTTATTTTTCAAGTGGATATTTGACTTTAAGGGATAGATATAGACTCAGACTATAGTCATTTAAAGAAATTATATCAATTATCTTCTGTGATTTCTTATTTTTCAAGTAAGGATAATATGGCTCTTAGTCATGGAGATAGGACATTAGTATAATATCCAGTATTTAGTAATATTTACTTTCACCCAAGGCCTAAGTACTCAATATGTGTGATATGACTTAATCCTCTTAATGATCCGTGAAATAAGTATTATCTTCTCCTTATTCCATAGCTGAGGAAATAGGTAAGATAGCTCTCCCAAGTCAAACAGCTTGTTAGTGGCAAATAGAGACTGCAACTCCAAGCATTTGACACCTATGGTCTCTGACTTTTACATCTAGAAAGTGACATCTTTCTGTTTACATCTAGAGAGTGACAAAGCCAGATTCAGCCCAGGCCTTCTGTAAACCTGATTCATTTCTTTCCATCTCAGCTCAGTGGCTTGTGTACCACCTCCACCAACATCATTTGTTCAGTGACATAATAATTATTCTTTAGGACATTATCTTTTTCTTGTACTATGAAGGTAAACAGTTGATCCTGAAATAATTCTGTGTGTGTGTGTGTGTGTGTGTGTGTGTGTGTGTGTGTTTATGTGTGTTGGTGCTGGAATGTGTTTTCTACTTTTTATGTATAGTGATTTTATATTAATACAGCATATGTTTCCCTTATCCATTTGGTTAGGTTAAACATGCATTTTTCTTCCAGTATCAAAAGGTATCCTTTAAATACTATTTGGGCATGTCAATGCAAAATTCTACTTCTAACACGCATTCTGTGAATCTCCTTTGGGCAGTTGCTTTATAGATTGTAAGAATGTTATTTCTTATGACCATAGAAACAGTAGGTATTGTAGAATAGATATTCCTGTATAGAGCAGCACATAATCATCTTGACTTAAACTCCAAAACGTGCTAATATTAAGATACGTAGGAGTTTTTTTTTTTTTTTTTTTTGCCTCTTAAATACAATTGAAACAGTCTCTTCTACTGAATTAATGTAAGTCCATTGAATTTGAACTTCAGGTCTTATATAGTCATAATTCTTTATTGAGCAGATAGTTGACTAACTCATCAGTAGGACACAATTTTATACACCGTTTTAGTTAACCAAATCTTAATTTACATTGTCTATTAGTTTTCAGACCTCAGAGTCTCAATGGCTTAAAACAATATGGTTTATTTCTTGCTGAAGCAATGTTTCAACAGGTGGCTATTCCATCACCCAAGGCTTTGTATGTTGTTCCCTAAATCTGCTCCATCTGCTGGACAAATAGTAAAGGCAGACAGCACAGAAGAACATGTGGACTATTTTAGGGGGTAGGCCTGGAAGGAATAAACATTATTTCTGTACATATTCCATTGATTAGAACACTTATACTGCCCTACCCAGAGTCAGGGACCATGGATGCTGGGAAATGCAGCCTTCCTAAAGGAAGAAACAGAACTACAAAACATCCAGCCAGTCCTAGACAGAGCTTGGTTTCTCAACATTCTCCATTGAACAAAATATGCATGTGTTTATAGACTTGCCTATGACAGCCCTCCACCCTCTGGCTGGATCTAAAAGGAACATTAGAATGTACAGTGGCATAATTAACTTTCTCCAACTACAAAATCTCAATATGAAGTTATGAAAAGTAAATATCCTATATTTACTACAAATAAGTGTTTTCATTTTATTCATACTTACTTTTCTATTTTACTATGTATGGTATAAATTTTTAAAAGCACAAAAGAATTCTTTTGAAATTCAGGAAGAAAATGGTAGTTTGTTAAAATAGTTATAAATTTGGAAAAAGCTGCCTTAAAATTTTTAGGGTGATAGGGATTTTATATATGCTTGTTTTGTGAAAGCAATGCTAGATACATACAAATTCTTAGTATTTAGTAATTGATTATGGCAATATCTAGGTTAGATCCAAGTAAATACCTGGAATATTGCCTAATGTCCTCCGGCTAAAACATTTAATGTTTCATCTCTGGCCATAGAGAAAAGTCAGGAATTGAAGAAATTCTGCTCACCTTTGGTCCTTCTTTTAAAACTGTAAACACAATTCTATGCCCATTGTCTAGTGGATGAAAATGCTTTTACCTGCCATGTCCACTGTTGAATATAGATCTTATACATTTACATAATTTGTTGGAAATAACATCTACATCTTATCCTGATAATTAGTTTCTAATCTTTTAACCAAAAATAACTGGCATACTTAAAATTATAATCTAATGTGGAAACAATTTTCTTAATGTGGATGCGATAATTTTTTTTTCAGAAACATAGTAACTATTTAGATATAGTCAGTTAATCTAAGACACAGGTATTAGTCCTGTTACTCACATTGCAGTCTTTCTTCAAGTGTGGTCTACAAAATGCTTTGCTTCTGAGTCATGAGTCTTGTTAAAAATGAAGTCCTGGGCCTTATCCCAAATCCCCTTTTATCAGGATTTCTGTTGATAGAGTTCAGAAACTTGCATTTTAACAAGCATCTCTGAAAACAACTTCACTTTATACACAACACAGGGGTTCACTGTTGTAGAAGAAAATCAATATTTGATTTTAAAATACTTAAATTTTCATATAATATATGAAATATATTTACAGGAGTCTTTTAGGTTGATGATTATAAAATAAATTTAAAGAGCATAAGGTGAAAAGACATAGTTTAATATGAAGTATAATGAGTCTATCTAGCAAGTAGCTGAAATATTCTGTTCAATGCAATGCTAATTGCGTTAGCCTAGAGAACACCTAAGATCTGACACATTCATTAGGGCTTAGCACTCAACCTATTAATCACTACTGTGGGGTCACTGAGTAAGACAGAGCGTGTTCAGAGGCCTGGCCTGTGATGTCAGGACTGGAGTCTCTTGTAGTAATTAGTTGGCATCTGGGCTTTGGTAGCAAGGTATTATCTTCCCTTCTGATGTCTGCATTAAAAATGAAACTAATGAAAGGTTTGCAGGAAGGATGGAAAAGAATGCAAATTATGTTTATACCTTACTTCATCCTTAGAATAATGGCATTAAATTACAGCAACCCATCTGGATGTCCATATGTTCTCCTGGAGGTCTAGCAAATTTTAGCTAATAGGTCAAACAGTATGGTCACCCCATTAATAAAGCACTAAGTAGAGGTAGAAAACAGAATTTAAACTTTCTACACTGTTTAGAAGGACATAGGGTTTTATTTTGTAAATAGCGATTACATAGGATTGTCTTTAGTACAATATTTGTTTTTGTATTCTATTGAATGATAATCTATACATGGTTACCTATACAGTTACTGACTACAGATTTTGGACTGCCAGTTTCTATGAGTACTTTATGTGACTTTTCTGATAAAAATCCGTTCTGACTTGGAAGAATCAGCCATTCTGGAGAGAAGAATTGGCTTTTCTCCATGGTAACTTATTTTTCTGTTTTATGTGAATAGTGAAGGCCAATTGTGTGAAAGTAAGGGTAATAGTTTTGTGATGTACTACTTTACACAGGGATTGAACATTAGAACACTGACCTTATTTTACTGGAGGCCAAGAAGCAAAAGGCTTTAACATAGCAGGTTGGTGGTCATAACATCAAATATGTATTTTTCTATTCTCTTAAAATTTTAAATAAGCTCAATATATTATTCTGCATTGTGCCCTAATATTTTACAGAATGAGGGAGGCTATTAAAATAATTCATACTGTGCAATGTCTTAGCAACAATAAAAAAAGAAAGTCATTCCATTCCTGTGTTTGAGATAGCTAGGGCTTTCATCTTAGATTTATAAAAAGCACAAAGTACGAGGTACACTTTGACAGCCCTGTGCAAGTAGGCTGTGGACTTTTTATATCTATGCCATGTTAGGCTCTTTTTTTCATCCGTAGGTATAAATATCACTAAACCTTTCTAGGAAATATGGCACAGTGTGGCAGAAACTATTATGCTCACCATGTATCCATGCACTCCTCTATATTTCCCAGCTTTCCTCCCCTTAGGCTGAGGCCAAGTGACTATTTCTGACCAATTAAATATAAGTGGAAGGACGTATGTCCCTCTGGACACCTCCTGGCAAGGTGATTTGATCTGGCATGCATCTTCCCTTTTTCTACAGTTATATAGACTATACTGATCATTACAAACATGAGAGCTTGATTTATTGTGTAACCACAATATAAGTTATATACATTATTACATGGGATGAGAATGCACTA